GAAGGAGGAAGGGAAGGTGAAGGGGGAGGGGAAGGAAGGAGGAGGAGAGGGAGAAGGGGGAGAGGAAGGGGAGCTACTTTGAATTCTTCAAGAAGTGCTTTTGATAAGGAGTATGAGGAATATGGATGGAGTTTATTTTCCTTCTCTCTTAGGAAACGATTAGGAAGATCTGGTAGCACCTAAAATGGTTGTTTTTTAAAAATAAGAGCTCTCATGGCTAGCAAGCTGTTGCACAGCTGTCAGTGAAGTATGTCTTGACACTGACTGCCATTGACCTGCTCACTGTCCCCGCTGACTCATCCCGGGGGTGCTGAAGATGACAGATGACGGGGGTGGGAGGCGTTGGTGAGATGAGAGCCGCATCTTTACAGTAGAAAACACAGGACGCCAGAGACGCAGACAGAACATGGGTCCTATTTTATAACAGGGAAAGAAAGTCCAAGATTAGCCGCCTATAGTCCTTTGCCTGGAGGTAGCCATGAAATCGGTATGGTTGTGAAATACTCATAGAACAAAACAGTCTACTCCCCTGGATTCTCAGCCCTAGGCAGTCAGGGATAGGAGACTGTGCTCAGTCCCTGGGCGGCCTCCCTCCCTCCCTCTCTGTCCATCTTTCCTCCTTCTGTCTTCCTTCCTACTGTCTTCCCACCCGAACCCTGCACTTGCATTTCCACAGGCTCTTGACTGCATGCCTCTCTCCGCATCCTTCTTTTCATGTGTGTCTCAATGGATAGACAAACTAAAAAATAAAAAATTTAAAAACAAAGCTAGCTCTTGGTATGGGAATAGCTGCAGGCAATGTAAGAGCCTTTCTGGAAGAGTAAGGGGCAGGGTTTAGCATGGCCCTCACAGCTCAGGTTCAGGTCCAAGGATGGTGTGCCATGTGCCTGGGTAAGCATCACGAGTCCTCAGATGCTTGTGAACCCATTTATTGACAGTCCCGACTCACACACGTGGAAGTGCAGGGATGCCTGTGCACACTCACCTCAGGCGCATTCTCATCTGTGGATTGACAAAGCATACATACCATCCACGAATATCCTTCCCTTCAAAGAGAGGTAGCATCTCAATGCAGAAAACCCTTAATCGCCTTTCTACAAAGCCGATCATCCCAATACATCAGGCGGCGAGGGCGTAATAAGGACTTCGTTTTATAAAAGAATATTATTTTGTTATTGTAGAGCACATTCATACTACATGATAAAAATGAATACAACATAATATAAATAAACAATAACAAAATAACAATAAACAGCAACATCTTATAGTTGGCAGTAGGGAAACTCAGTTAGAAGACAGCATCTGGTAGGTGTGATGCCAGGCTCTCAAGGCCTGCTGGTTTCTTCCTGTAGAAATGAGGCTAGTCCTGCCTGGCCCACAGGCTCATGGGGAGAGGAACAGAGTTGCACAGCGGAAGAGCTTTGTTCACTTCCAGGCACAGTCTGTATTTGCGTCAGAGGAGGGGGCTGGAGAGTATGAAATGCAGAGCCCTGAGGCCGTGCGGGGCCAGGGCAGGCAAGACCCAAGCTCCTGGGAGTGGGATGCGGTGCTCCTGAAGGGAAGGCTGCTGAATGGGGCTCTTGGTGTTTTAAACAGGAAAAATCTGAATACTGGCTCTTCGTCATCTTTATGCTACTGCGATTAACAGAATTAGATCAGAAGAAGATTAAAGTGGAAGAAAAGGTATATAGTCCCGTCATTCCTGGTGTTTGTGGGTTAACATGCTCAAGAGTTCATGCTGCCGTTACAAAACCAATATAATCAATACATAAGGCACAGAACAACAAATAAGGCAGATTGATTATTTGGGGAATATGTCCTCGTCATAGGCTCTGTCCCTTTAGCCTCCTGCCAAGGTGAGTGTCAATACCAGTGCAGGTTGTCGTCAGTGCAGGGGAGGGCTGGCCGTGGGTTTGGGGTGACACCCCACATGCTGGTGGTGGCAGTGGTGGCAGATGTGGGTAACTATCGTGTTTGGAGGGTGTATGAGTCTATCTGTGTCACTTAGATGTATTAACAATAAAGTGTATTGAGTGTTATTATACATAGTATCAAAAGGCACACAAATAAACCACTGCTTGGATACTTTAAATTTGTAATTCTGCTCTTTAGAGCAGTGGTTCCTCTGGTGACATGATCTGAGAGCAACCAGACCTTGAGTGCCAGTGCCTGTCCCTCCCACACCCCTGGCTCCTGCTGGGTCTTGCCTTAATGGCTGGTGGCAGCTGAAATCTCTGCTAGTGAGAATTTCTTACAAATCTGAAGTGGGAATGAAACAGGCATAAATGTGAAGAGAGACTCACATTCCATCTCGGAAATGCCTTTCTGGAATCTTGGTTAAAAATAGTCCCAGATGCTGACCTGTCACTGTCCTCACACTCAAAGACACCTAGCAGATTTCTCTCTTCCTCTGACATTTTGCAGAGGGAACAAATGGAAAGCCACATGTTAGGTAATAGCGTGGTAGCTGAGGGTGACGTATTCAGAGTGATGGAAAAGACAAGGGGACAGGGACAGAGGCCCACACCAGGAAGGAAGGGTATGAGTTCAGAGGAGGAAGGCTGGGCAGAGCTGGTCGCTGGGAATAGTTCTAAATCTCCCAGGTGCTGACTGCCTAGGATCTGGGGCTGGACATTCGATCCCGTTTTCACATACTGAAAGTTGGAATGTCTACCGACTAAACGCAGGCACAGATGAGGGTTTTTATTTTGTTTTGTTTACCTTTCCCCCATTCCCAACCAGGGAATACAAGGAAGTCGGAAAGTAGGAGACCACAGGACTCAACTCAGTATTTTAAAATAATGATCGTTTTTGGGTTTTAGGAAAATCAGAGTAGACCTGAGGACTGTGCATAGACGCTCATGGGCACATGTCACACTAGTTGGTCTACCGGGTTGCATGTCTGGAATATTTAATTAAAGAAAATCTGAGCCTTGTTTTCTTTTTGGAAACAAAGCTTTTCCTCTGACATTTCTAATTCTGGCCAAGGTTTCGGCTGTGAATAAATACGACCCTCCCCCCGAGGTAGTTGCCGCCCAAGACCACCTGACCCACGTGGCCCACAGCATGATGCAGCCTCAGAGGATCTTTGACAGGTACGTGGTGGAACTCAGGTGGGCAAGCAGAAGGCGGCCTTGCAGTTTGCCCTGGCCTGTGTTTCCTGTAAATGCTGCCGTCTCCCTTCCAATGAACTGCGTTGTCTCAGTCACAGCATACACCATGCTGGGCGCCCGTGGCCCACCCACCAGTGCTGGCCCAAGCATGGCAATGAGGTGATTCACCTTGCTCTTTGATCTGGGCCTCTCTGTGGTGGCGAGCCTGTGCCGCCAACAGTAAAAACAAAGTTCATAGACTCTGCTGCCTCAGGACAGAAACACAGACCTTAACATCATTAACAGAAAGTTGTGATCATTAGCATCCATGGTCCACTTTTCCATAACTGTGAGTGAATGCTACGTACCCATGCCAGCAAGTGCCCCATGAATCCAGATTTTTAGGGAGCCCCTAGAAGGAAGCCCCACTAGCCTATAGGAAAGCTGAAGCAGTCTTTGCACTGAGTTGCAATAAACCCATCTTGGGTGAGCACGTGAACAGAGTCTTTCACCTCTGAATTCAAAGGCAGAGTTACCAGTTTCTTTAAACAATCTGTTGGAGCAGATGGTCATTTATGCTGTGAGTATAATGCAGAAATGCTGTCACTACCCAAAGGCATTAAAAAAATTCTTATGAAAGAAATGTGGCTACAAATGGCCTCTCCTCTTCATGTGATATTTGCTCCTGTGTGTCACATGGTGGGCTTTCCACAGAGAGCAAAATGTTTTATTTCGTGACCCAGGACATGATTTTTACATATAATTTCACAATGTAGATATTGGCAGTTTCACATGTTTATGTAGACCTCTAGGTGAAATGACTTGTCATTTATTTACATACATCTGGAAAAGCACGTTTGATGTAAAAGAAGGACATTTATGTCCCATTGTATTTATTTCTTTTCTAGGCTACGGTATTGGTAGTTGTTTCATGCTTTAGGGTGCATTTAGATTAAATATGTATCAAAGAAATTTGCAGCAGTGCTTAATAAACATGTATGTCTTGATTATTTCTGGCTGTCGGACTGACAAGTTTGCCTTTGCTGGCCACGCAGGCCTGAGTGTTCCAGAACGGAGCGGGGTTTGTTGGGAAGCTCATGGGCTCGGGAGCAGGCTGGCATGAGACGACCGTGGGCCAGGACACAGGACAGGGGCTGGTGGGAGGTAGCCATGCTCTTCCTGCTCCTGGCCAGGGCAGGCACCAGAAGTCAGGACCCACGCAGGCAACGCTGACTCGTAGCTTTGGGACATATGCACTGCATTATTCGGGAATCACTCTCCCCTCTCCTGGCATGCCCAGGATGAGGATTCAGTATTAAAATGGCACAGTCAAGCCTTGACTCTGTCCTGGCATTGTTGATAACTTCCTGACTCTCTTCTGTGATGGAGTTCTCTAGGCTAGTCCTAAACATGTCCTGTAAAATCTGTAATCAGCCATTTCTCCAAGAAGCCCTGGTTGTAGTGAGAAATAGATTTCCCAATCCCACTCTGGGTGTTCGGGAGACGCATTGCTACCAGGTTGGTCATTGTTTCTAGGCTTTTTGTTGGAAAGAACTAGGAAAACATATCTATCTACTCACCCACCCACCTCCCACCCCCCCATCTACCCCCCTTACCCCCACCCCCTCATTCATTCATCCATCCACCCACCCACCCTCTCACCCATCCACCCCACCCACTCATCCATCCATTCACCTACCCATCCACCCATTCATCTATCTGTACCTATCTGTATCTCTTCAATCTATCTATAGATTTGGATAGATCTATAGATATTTGGATAGATATATCTGTGTCTATGTATGGATAGTCAGATTAAATAACTCCTGAATTTTGATACTTACCATTCAATTTTTTTTTTTTTTTTTTTAGTTAGAGTCTCACTCCATCGCCCAGGCTGGAGTGCAGTGGCACGCTTATGGCCACCCCAGCATCAATATGCTGGACTCAGGCAATACTTTTGCCTCAGCCTTCCAAGTAGCCAGAACTATAGGCACACACTACCACGTCTGTCTAATTTTTGATTTATTGTAGAGATTAGGTCTCACCAAGTTTCCCAGGCTGGTCTCAAACCCCTGGGCTCAGGCAGTCCTCTCACCTTGGCCTCCCAAAGTGCTGGGATTATAGGCTTGAGCCACCACACCCGGTCACCATTCAATTTTAAAACTACAGTTAAGCTTAACTCAATCTTTTCTCTATTATGTCTGTATTTTCTTTTTTCCCACACCAAGAATCCTGGTTCTAGAGGATACAGAGAAAGATGAAATTAGAAAATCCCATAATTACTCATTTAAAAAATCATAGTAATGCCACCATGGTATCAGAATACAAATAATATTACTACCACCAGCATGATTACTGAAAACATTAAAAATATTTTTAACCTATGCTCTACCCTACCCATTCAGTCCTTCCCCATGTTTTTTATTGTGGCAAAATATACATAACATAAAATTTGCCATTTTAGCCGCTTTTAAGTGTGTGGTTCAGTGGCGTTCAGCATTCACAACATTGTGTAACCATCACCACCCTCTATCTCCAAATCATTTTTATTACTCCAGGCAGCAAGCAGCTCTGTACCCACTAAGCAGTAGCTCCCCTTCTCCCTGCTCCCCGCCCCGATAACCTCAACTCCACTCTTCCCTCTGAGTGTCACAAATCTGCCTGTTCTACATATTTCATGTGAGCATCTCCCCACTTAAAAGAGCGCTGTACTGTATTTATGTTGCCAGAGCATGCTGCCATCACACGCTCTACCTGCTCCTTCTCTGCCCCCACTTGGTCATCGTTCTGTGACTGATGCAGTTATTGCGCACTCCCGGTTCTTATATTGTTTTCTCTTGAATCATTTTGGTTTTCTGAAGCTTGTTTTCTAGTAGATTTCTTAGGAAGAGGTATGGGATCACTGTCCCCTGAATTCTTGCCTGTTATAATAATTTGTGTCCTTTATACTTGAAAGCCCTTTTTGCCAAATATAAAATTCATGACTCACACTTTTTTCTTGAATGTACTCCATTTTCTTTTGAAATAAAATGATGTCAAAGTCTGATAATAATTTAATTTTCTCTTCCTTGTAAGTCATGTGCTCTCTTTTTCTAGTTGGACATTTTTTTCTTTGTCTTTAAAGCCCAGTAATTTGGTACTGTGTCTTGGTACTGGGTGTTCTGGGCAGATACTTCAGGTATCATGGGTGCTCTTTCGATATATAGGGTTTTTTATTATTTTATTTCAGGGACGTTTTCTTGAATTATAGCCTTTAATATGTTTTCTGTTCCTTTGTTTTGGTTTTCTTCTTCAGGAAGATCTCCTTTGCCTATTTTCAATAACTGTCACTTTCTCCCAAATATTTTTTTCTTAGTCATTTAAAAATTATTTTGAGATAATTGTAGATTTACATTCAGTTGTAGGAAATAGTACAGAGTAACTCCATGTACCTTTCACCCAGTTTCCCAATGGAGACACCTTTTGTAACCTGGTAGAACAGCGAGCACCAGGAAACTGGCCAGGAAACCTACCAACCTTCTCAGGTTTCCCAGTTTTGCATATGTTTGGACATCTGTCTCATTTACCTCTATGCAAGTTCATCACATGGAGATCCATCTGGTCACCTCTGCAGTCAAGTTAACAGAGGTTTTGTCTCAAGGATCCCTCACGACACCCTTCACAGCCACCGCCTCTCCCTCCCTCTCATCTTGCCCAACCCCTGGCCACCATCGCTTTGTACCCATCTCTACTAGTTGTCCTTTCATCGATGTCATGTAGATGGAATCATGCGGTGTATAACCTTTAGGGATGGCTTTTTTTCCCCACTCAGCATAATTCCCTTCCAATCCGCTCAGGCTGTTGCATGTATCAGCAGCTCATTCTTTTTTCTGACTGAGTTGCAGTCCGTGGTATGGATGCATCACAGTGAGTTTAACATCCACCTGTGGAAGGACATCAGGTGCTTCCAGCTTTTGGCTCTTATAGTGAACGCCAGCTCGAGCGTATGTGTACAGGTTTCTGCGTATGTGGTTTTAGCCCACTGCTTTCCGCGAGTGCCCAGGGGCTGTTTGGGGTTCCCTCGTCCCCGGGCGTGTAGGGTCCGGCCCCTGCCTCCCCTCTCTTTCTCCTGCTGCTTTCATGAGTCCGTGGCTCATGGCATTACCTTTCCTCCTGGTTGTGTGTGTTTGCCATAGGCTGTTTGCTCAAGTTTTTCTGAAGCTATCCAGAGAGATGGAGGACTCTGCTGTTTCTTAGGATCCTCACAGGATCCATGCCTCAGTCACGTGTTTTTACATTTTTAAGTATTTTATTCTGTATTTCTACAATTTGTCTCACAAATGGAGTCCAGACACATCAACTCAGCATGTTGCAGGAGACTTTATTAACAAATTCATTTTCTAGGCCAGTCTCCAGACTGAGAAGCCAAGCCCAGATACACATGTAATTTCTTTCTGAGTAGCTCTTACTTTGAGCAAGTTAATCAACCTCCCTGCACTGCAGTTTCTTCATGTGTTAATTGGAGATAGTAACAGAGACACCTCCATCACCTTCCCGTGGTAATTAAGTGAAGTAATACACAGCAGCTCCCAGAGCCGTGCCTGGTGTACAGCAATCACGAAGGTGCATTTCAGTTACTACTGTGAAGTTTGCTTGGACATCTGTATTTTAATCTAATAGTATAGGCATTAAACTTTTAACTTTCAGAGCACAGTCTTATTTCTTTCATTGATAAGTTCTGGGAGGAATACTTCACTCTAGCTATCAAGAACTAATGTATACTACCACATTTTTCCTTTAAAAAATCTTGTTAACACAGCTGTCCTTCAGTAAGTGTCTTATGTAGCAAGTGCTTGTTCAGCTGGGCTGGTGATGACCAGATGGAGGGAGTCAGTATGCTGTCTGTCTGACAGAAGGAGGAGACACTGAGTCTGGCTCTGTGTTGCAGCACCCTGCCCAGCCTGGACGCCCCATACCCTATGCTGATACTAACTGGTCCTGAAGCCTGTGGGAAGCGAGAACTTGCCCATCGCCTCTGCAGACAGCTGAGTACGTACTTCAGATACGGGTAAGTTTGTTTACGGGCTTGTGAGGCTTGGACATTCATCCAGGCTGTTGCATGTATCACCAGTAGTTCATTCCTAGTAAAATCTCAGCTATTGCTAAATTTGGCTGTTAATTTTAAGCAAGTTCAAAAATGTACAAAACAACTTAATATTTGAGTTATATTTTACAATAAAGCTAGAAGTGGTAAGTGAATTGAATGTTCAGTAGATATTAACTCTTAGCAAGGACAGCACTCCGGTGAGTGTTGATCCTCGAAGGCAGATTATCGATGAAATTGGATCCCTGTGCTGACCTGGTCTCAGACTGGTGGAATGTTGATTCTCCGGCCATTCTACTGGATATAGTAGAGATGACTGCCAAAGCAGGCTCCTGGTCATGGGAGAAGAACGCAACATATTGCAGGATGAAGCCAGACAGCTTATCCTTTGTGAAGCAGACTGAACACACAGCAGTGATCCCCCAAGTCCAGGCAGGCAAGCCTGGCTCGCTCATGCCATTACACACCTTTTCCAGGAAAGGCTCATCAGCCTCTTTGCCATTTATTCAACTGTGATATACATTTTTGCTTTAGACTTTGCCTTTCCAAATGTCTAACTTAATTCAGTCCCAGCGCAAGTCACTGTCCAGGGTTGGAGATGTGCCCTTTTTGTTAAGTATGATGGCATTTTCACACACTCTCCTGTTACCATGAGCCGCGGCAGCACGGGTCACCAGGGTGTGGTGGGGCGGGGCAGGTCAGGGCCAGGCTCCACTGACTGTGCCCGGAGCAGAGTGGATGCCCTTTGAGAGGCTTTTACTCCAGATGGGGCTTCCTCTCTTGGAGTGTATTTCAGGAGGTAGGAAGGGAAGGGGCAGCCAGGGTTTCCTTTCCTTTCCTGGGAGTCAGCATTCAGTTCACTTCATGTTCTCTGGTTTCCGAATGACCCAGTTAAAGTAGAGGAAAGTATCCTAAAAATTAGATCAATCCCCAAAAAACCCTCCAGCTGGATTGATGGATTTTATAGAGATTTCTGGGAATCAGATTTAGAATTTTATCTCTGTGGTCTCTTAAACCGGTTTGCTCTCGTATTTTTTATGTATGGCAAAGAAATTACTTTTAGATTAGTGGTGTCTATCAGCAAGCCAAGGATGTAGGACAGCAGGAAAACAAGCACAAATTATTTTCTAATGCATTGCAAAAAAAGACTGTTCCCTGCAGCTACACTGTCCAAACAATGCACGCACTATTTTAAACAGGCCCTTTATTTAGAAATGCACAATTGCACCCTCATTGGAGCAACCCTATGGCGTAGATGCTACAGGATAATTTATTGACTAATACACTCTAAACACCCTGAAGTAACAAAAATAAATTAACAGTATCAGAATAAAAAGTACAACATGCATAATGCTTACATGCAAGGGTGCTAAGCCTGCTTAAGGGACAGGTGGACGCAGTGAGTGGAGGGCCCAACCAGGGTGGGGCGCATGTGAACTCACGCTGTGTGAGCCTGGCACCTTCACAAACCCGTGTGACCTGTCAGAGAAGGCGCCCTGGTTCCTTCCGCTCCCATGATGCCAGTTGTGCTACAGTGGCCGAAGCCCAGTCCTGTTTGCTTGGGATGTGCTGCCCAGTCGGTGTCTGCTTGGAGGGCTGCTAACTCATCATCACTGTGCTGACCGTCTCCACTTCACACTTACCTGGCCAGGTACCCCACTGCTGCCTTCATGGAGCCCCTTGCTTCCCGTATTAGCCTACCTATCTGGTGTGCTCGCGACCAGTTTCTTCAGTGTCTCTTTTCCCTGCTTGTCTGTGAGTGGGGTAGAGGCCGTGTCAGCCTTGTTCACCATTGAATTCCCGCATACGACCAGGCTGTTAATAAAACCGTGGTAAATATTTAAGTGACCAACTCACAGACTGAGTGAGTGAAAGGATGGCTGAATTAATGGTATTGTGAGCAACATCTGGTGGGAATGACTGTCATGAGAAGCATCGGTTATTTCCCCAGCCTCCACTGATGGAGATATAGAGGGAGGGATGGATCCATTCGTTTGTTCATTCTTTCAGGGGATAAGTGCAGGATTCCTCCCATGCCAGTCCCTGGTCATGCAGTGGGTGCAGACCTGGTGAGGTCCCTGCCTTGTGAAATTGGTCATCTCGTGGGGAACCCAGACCTTGGGTAATTAGTGCCATGTGAGATTTATGTGGAGACACTAAGCAAAATCCTGCAACTAGCTGCATGCTCTTGTCCCGGTCCTGCCACCACTGCGGCCTTCTCCTCCGACTGGAGTGTGTGGTGCGTGAAGGAGACTCCCACGCCCTCACCAACCATATCCGCCCTTGTCCCTCCCTCCCAGATCGGGAGCACTCACTGTCGTTCTCACGGAGGCAGAAGTCAGGATTTGCTTGGTGGCAGATTATCCTAAGGATTCCGTCAAGGCATGAATAAAAGACTATGTCACAGGATAACAAGCGTATTGGACAACTAATGCTTCCATCATTGAGAAAGTAAGCTAGTTCTACCACTGTATGCAGCAACTTCGTAATAAAAACTAGGGGTGAAACCAGAGCACATCCTCAAGGGTGAGGCGTTGCTCTTGCTTATATTTTCTTTTATTTTATTCCTTATCCAACGTAAGTTTTATTGATTTTTAATTAAGTGAAGAGAAAAAAGGCAGGAATACAGTCTCATTATGAGACATAAAAACATTTTAAAAGGCACTTTTGCCACCATTTGCATAAATCTTTTCTTTCCTTTCGATTTATTTAATTTTCTCCTACTATTTTACTTCCTTGTTAAATTACATTGATCCAAAATCAGGCATTCAATGAAATTTTTGTATGCTAAGTTGCATAAACATATATAAATATTAAAAACATAACTCAGTCATATAAATAATGTCGATATGGCCGAGAGATCTTGCTCTCATCTTTGGTGTTGATTTTACTATTTGCTCTTGTTCTAGAAATAGTTGGGGTATTCTTCTTTTCATGTATTAGCTATGGGTGACCTGGGGATGGGCATTTGCTGTCTTCAGAGTCTCTCTTGATTTCTAACTGTATACAGCTTAGCAACTTCCTGGGAAAGTGCCAAGTAGTAAGAGCAACACAAAATAATGTCAGCATGCCTGTTGTCTTCTGACTTAAGGCCGTGAATATGATCTGACTGGTCCTGAAAGGAAAACTTGATCCTTCCTTGGGTCTTGGTTTCATAGCCACCTCTATTTGTCTAGTCTCCTCATGATGTTGGCTAAGTATATTTTATTTTTCACATTGTAATACAGTAAAGTAAAAGACCACAGCCATTTAACATGAGATGGTATGAGCTACAGCAACCTAAATACAGTCTGAAGTGTCTGTTTTTGCACATGTGACACATTTGTAGAATGGTGCATTTATTTATTAACATTTATTGAGCTGCCCATGTGCTATCCACTGGTGATGAAACTTTGACATGAACAGACACAAGTCTTGTCCTCTTGGAAGCTTACAGGCTAGTGTGGGGTTGAAAAGGTAAGTGCAGTCTAGCAGTGGAGTATGGTGGGTGCTGTTTATGAGAGATGGGGAACCTCAGAGACAGAAGCAAAAGAGAGAAAGATGTGAGCTTGAGTGGGCATTTTCCAAGCAGCCCCATTGACTGGATGTGCACATTCAAGTGTGGCTATGCTGAGACTGAGGGAATGACAGAAGGTAAGACTGGACAAGTAGACAGGCATCTGATCATAAAGGGTTTCCAAACCTGTGTTTTAGAAAGCGCCCCCTGATGGCAGTTTGGGAAATGGGCTCAGAGAAGGAAAGCTAGAGACAAGGAGCCCAGCTGGGACCCAGTGGCTGGGATGACAGCATGAGTTAGAAAGCAGGCAGGCGGTGGCTTCCTGGAGTGTGATCCTCAGACACAGGATGTGTGTCCACGGTCACATAAATCATGTCTGGCAACTTATTGGCACATGCCTTCCTTGAGTGTTCAGAACAGTTTAATTTACCCACCACATTCCTTGAGGAACACCTGGACTTTTGTGGATACCCATTGAAAGAGCTCACTCACTATGGTATGCTATCGTGTGAGTGAATTTGGAGGTGTGACTGAATTCGGCTTTGCTCACAGCCAAGCCTCTGCCTCAATATCCGCAGTTAGAAGAAGTTCATTATTTCCTGAGACAACCTGACTCAGAATTGAGATTCTGAATCTGCATGTTTCTGAATCACACTGAAAAATTCTGCGTTCCCTCCCACCTGCTGGCCCTGCTAGACATCCGTTCTCCCTGTGACATTTCCCTGGGTAGTTCGATATTCCTTATTTGGTCTGGTGTGGTGGTAGCCACCATGACATCTGGGCTTGACTTGCCTTTGGGATGTCTAAGTTCGCCCTTAGGCTTTTAGGACCAGAGCTGCAGTTGGGTTCATCTCCAACCCAATCCTTTCATCTGTTGAGTGAAACTAATGGAGTGTGGCTCCCAGTACAAGCTATGACTCAACTTTTACTATGATTTAACTAGTAAATTAATTAGTAAGTAATAAACTCGTGGGAAGACTTGGACAAGGGAAGGAGAGGGTGCTGAAAGTGATGGTGCAAGCAAATTTCTTTGTCTAAAATTTGCACCCGTTTTTCTAAATAAGTTTAGTGAAACGTTGGTCCTTTTTAAGACGATTATATTGGGTGGCATCCTACACAGTGACCATTTGTACAAGGGGGGACCCTCCAAAATCCACAATTTATTAAAATATTTAGTCTAACATGTTTAAACTTCAGTCACCTTCAAAGTCCTCTCCATTTGGTGCAATGCACCCATCGAGATCCTTTTTCTACTGCTCAGAACAGTTTCTGAATTTGTCCATTTTGATGCCTTGGAGTGCGTCTGCCATTTTTTGTTTCACCTCTTCCACACCAACAGAATGTTTCTCCTTGAGGACTTTTTTCATCGGGGAAACAAAAAAAAAGTTGCTTGGGTTGAGCTCAGGCAAATAGGGAGAGTGGGGCACAGGGGTCATGCCATTTTGGTCACAAACGGCTGAACACTCAGCGCGGTGTGGGCAGGTGCGTTGTCGTGGTGGAAGAACCAGTTACCTGTTTGCCACAACTGGGACGTTTCTCCCATAAATTGTGATGCAACCTTCTCAAAACCTCCACATAAAACTTTGGTTGACCATTTGATCAAAAGGAACAAATTCCAAGTGTACTACAAGGAGCCTACCCTCCAAGAGATAGTTCTGGGGTTTTGGGTCCCCCCTCACATGTGTGAAAATTGGAACGACAAATGTCAGAAGCCACAGGTCACCCTGGGCCTTCTTGGAGAAGACTGCAGTGGCTGCCGATTCTGCCATGAGCATTCTTCCTGTCAGTGGAGCCGTCTTTCTGCCTGCCTAGAAACGTGTTGGTTCTGTTAGAAATCCTGAAAAAATTCCTGCCACTCACTTTCTTTGTTGGGAAATACAAACTCAGCGTAGCATGTGAAGGTCGTGCTGAGGAACTGTGCTCAAGGTACCGAGCTGCTGACTGACCCTTCCCAAGGTCAGGGATGCCAGTGGGCAGAGGGTCTCAGGGCTCTGCAGGGCGTGTGAAGAAATGCCAGGGTATCCAAACAACAACACAAATGTCACGTTGTGTTGACAGTCTTCTCTGGAACGTACTCTTTCTCCTGAGTATACAACTCAAATGGAATATCAGAACCCTAAAATTAACTAGTAAGCTAATTCTTAACTATCATGGAAGGGAACAGTGATATATGAATTATAAAAATGTATTTGTCTTTGGCTTTATAATAAAGAGGCTTTTGAGGTTGCGACTCTACTTTCTTACTTAACATGATTTTGTTTTATTTTATTTTATTTTTTTATTTTTATTTTTGAGTTGCAGTCTCACTCTGTCACCCAGACTGGAGTGCAGTGGCCACTCCCGGCCACCTCAACCTCGACCTGCTGGGCTCTGGCGATCCTTCCGCCTCAACCTTCCAAGTAGCCGGAACTACAGGCATGTGCTATGTGCTACCATGCCTGGCTGATTTTTTGATTTACTGTAGAGATGAGGTCTTGCCAAGTTGCCCAGGCGGGTCTCGAACCCACAGGCTCAGGCAATCCACTCACCTCAGCCTCCCAAAGGCGCGGGATTACAGGCTGAGCCACCGAGCCCGGCTAACGTGATTTTAAAAAGAATTGAATTTGGAGTCATCTTGGCCTGCACTGTACCTGCCTCATCATCTGTAAAATAAAAATAAGAAATAACCCCTATCCCATGGATTTTGTGAGGAATAAATAAAATGACATGTCGAGATTTGGCTTTCTCATTTCCTGTTTTATTTATTTATTGTTTGTTTGTTTTTTTGAGTTGGAGTCTCACTCTGTCGCCCAGACTGGAGTGCAGTGGCCACTCCTGGCCACCGCAGCCTCAACCTGCTGGGCTCCGGCGATCCTTCTGCCTCAGCCTTCCGAGTAGCCCGGAATTATAGGCATGCGCTACCACGCCCAGCTGATTTTTTGATTTATTGTAGAGATGAGGTCTCACTGCCCAGGCGGGTCTCGAACCCGCGGGCTCAGGTCATCCACTCACTTCAGCCTCCCAAAGGCGCGGGATTACAGGCTGAGCCACCAAGCCTGGCTCATTTCCTGTTTTAAAACTACAGGATAATCTAGACATCAGTTTGCATCTCCCAGAACTCAGCGCTGGGAAGGCAGAATGATCTGAGGCTAGAGTTCTGGATGACTGGCCCCATGTTCTGGCTTTCGGACCCACCCCGCCTGCTAGTGACCCTGGACACAACACTTTCATAGTCTTCTACAGAATGGAGCAATCGGCAGGCCACGTCACATGTTTCCCTTTTAAATTCAGTTTGCAAATATCTAGTGGATGCCTCCTTTGTCCCATTCATGGAGACCAGGATGAATGAGACAGAATGCTCCCAGGGCTGATAAGTGAGACAGAGTGCTCCCCAGGGCTCCTCTGCTCTGCTGGGGAAGGCGGGCAAACCCATAGGATGTGGGGGCGAGTGGTGGGGGTGTGGCTGGTGTGAGGAAGGACCTCTCTGGAACCCCCTGGCTTGCAAGTTTCCCGGGAGGTCTGCCCGCAGGGGAGCGCCAGGGGCCCAGCAAGCTCACCTGTGGGTGGGGGGAGTGTCATGTGTGGATCATCCAACCAGCGGGGTTAGGAGAGGCTTTTGGAGGATGACATGTAAAGTACTGGGCCCGCGGAAGGCGCTTGCGGGTCAGAGGGAGCACGGAGCCTCTGGTGGATGCATGTGGGTCATCCAGACAGTTCTGCTTCCCACGGTATTAAAGATGCAGAGGAGGAGGCTCAGAAAGTGGTGAGTGGCACTGACAGGAGCCGGGTGGTGATAATCCCCATCTCGTAATCCCTGCAGACCACAGGAACGGAATGTAGTCCTAGCACTTCAAAATCACGGTGTCTTCACTGTCCCATTGCTTTAGGATCTATGATTTGCTGACCGGTTTCATTTTTTTAAAAGACATACTTGATACACGGGGCAATGTTGTTTGGCTTAAGCTTTGGATTTTTGTTAGCGTTTTCCATTCTGAATGCCAAGTTGGTAGAAACAGACTAGCCGACCTGTCCTGTGATTTCAGGGCCTGTCACACCACACGACTGCCCTACTTTGGAGAAGGGGACCGAGTGGATTACCATTTTATCTCTCAAGACTCTTTTGATGAAATGCTCAACATGGTAAGAATGTTTGTCTTTATTTCTGCTGCACAAGAAATACATGTTCTCTCACAAAAATATTAGGACAGAGTGGCAAATAAAAAAGGGAAGATGAAAGTTTGTGCTTTTATGAGAGGTGAGTTCCTACTGGATTGTTTTTCTTGAACTGCTTGACACATCATTCTTCACATGCTTTTTAATTTTATGATCTTGAAGGAAATATTGTACATTTCCAATAAAATCAAACCACTAGATATTTTTAAAGCATCATGAAAAATTCTTGTGATGGGTGCTTGTCTGGTGCTGCTGCTGTAATTAATCAGATCTCCTCAAGACAGAGAGTCCCCCCGAGAACTGGCAATGCACAGCTCTTGTGACCTGAGTGTTTCCAGGGCTGGGTACTCTGTGCAGCGTACCTCTGGGTGGCATCAGAGGCGCCTTCTTGCTGTCACAATCCTAAACACCACTCCTGAATGGCATGTCCCGTCTGGCCGGCTTGGTCTGGACATGTTGCCTTCCACGGTGATGTTTCTGTTTGAGAAGTCCTGAGCTGTGAGCCGGAAGCCCTCCACTGCAGAGAGGAGCCGTCTGTGAGGTGGGGAAGATTCCTCCTCTCTCTGGGGACTGTGTCTTTCCTGCCCTGCATGAGTCCATTTGATAGACGCATGGGGTAATGTTGTTCAGCTTAAGTTCTGGGTGTTTTGTTTTTTACTGAGACCCTGATAATCTAGTCATTGGTGGTAATTCACAACACCCTCATCTTTGAATTCATTTTCTTCAAAACAACTTATTTGTTTCTTCTTGGCCTTCACATGCAAAGGGAATCCTCACAACCCTAGTGTGTTCAAAGTACGTGCTGATGTCAACACATATCCACCCACGACTCCAGTTAAACCCAAAGCGCCTCATGTCTGCAACACTACCAGTGAATCTGTAGACCTATTTTTTCTGAACCTTCAGCCTTGTTTTTGTTTATGTTATCATTGTTTCTATCACCAAATGAATCCTGCACTACCTTGTTGTTTTTGAGTTAGAGTCTCACTCTGTCACCCAGACTGGAGTGCAGTGGCATGTTCACAGCCACTGCAGCCTCAACCTGCTAGGCTCAGGCAATCCTTCCACTTCTGCCTTCCAAGTAGCTGGAACCAAAGGCACATGCCACCATGCCCAGCTAATTTTTTATTTATTGTAAAGGCAAGGTCTCACCAAGTCGCCCAGGCTGGAACCCATGGACTCGGGCAATCCTCTCACCTCGGCCTCCCAAAGTGCTGGGATGACAGATGTGATCCACTGCGCCCTGCCCACCTTTTTTTTTTTTTTTCTAAAGCCTACCACAGGATGGGATGAGGGACCAATCTGTGTTTCTGTTTTGGGAAGACTGCCATCTAGCAGGTGACGTGGCCATTGCGGGGTCTCTCCCTCTGCTCCCCACTTCCCTTCGCTTCTTTCTTCCTCTGCCTCCACCCTAAAGCAGTGGATCTGGCTCACACCTCAATGCGCACTTAAGTATGGGCTCTGTATTTTCTACAGGCTTAATTTTTTGTTGAAAGCAGGATTTATTGAGAGGACAGAAAAACTCCTGTCGTGGGAGGGGACCCGAGAGGGTTGTGCTACAGGCTTAATTTTGAGTGACCCACTCTATACATGGTGAATGTTTTCGGGACTTCTCTAGTGTTCATGGAGAAATACAAGTGAGGAAGTCCTATCACCCCTGGGCATTTTCCCTCTAAACTTGTCAAAATAACATCTTGGAAATGATTTATAGTTTTCTCTTCTAGGGTTATATCTTGGCAGTTCAGTTAAGTTTATTAAGAACACTCCTAATAAATAAGGGCTGCATGTTTCTAAAAGCATCACTGGATATGGGAGAAGCTCTCTTGATGTTAGTAACAAGCATTCTCTTAGGACACTTGCAGTGGGAAGACAACTGGCTCCCAAAGTCAACGTCAGTTTCTCTTGCTGCATCCACGGCATTTTTCCTTAGCTTAGCTCATCTGTTCCCAGCACCGCGTGTGCTCCCCTGATGCTCCACGCCTTGTCAGATCTGTGACCAAGTAGTCTGGTTCAACTCCTAGTCTAAGAAGCTGCCATGCTTCCATGCCGTATTTAGTGTCATCATTTCACTCCCGTTACAAGCATCTGCCTGTGTTTGAAGAGTGCTTATTTTTACTCCTTCTGCCAACAGGTGTTATTTCAGTATCATGTTGTTGTCTTCAAGTTGAGATTTGCCTCTGATCTTCTTTTCTCTCATGTGAGCTTGAGACCAGTTCATGAAGAGAGACAAGCCTAGGGATGCAGAACTCATGACACACTTTACCAACTGCACCCACATCCTCAGCCTCCTGCATGCAGATCCCCACCCCATGGCACCCCCAGATAGCCTCCCCAGCCTTCATTGCAGTGGCCTCCTTAACAACAGCCTCAGCGACTCCTACTGCGGGCAATCAGACCTACCTCTTGCAGGTATAACCCAGAGACCTGCATACCCACCCTCATGCACAGGCCTCCTCCCACAGAGCTGCACTTCCGCCCACATGCACGGGCCTCCTTCCACAGACCTGCACGCCCACCCCCATGCACAGGCCTCCTCCCATAGACCTGCACACCTGCCCACAGCATGGACCTCCTTCTGCAGACCTGCATGCCTGCCCACACGCACGGGCCTCCTCCAGCTGACATCCCTCCCCACACTGATCACCCCATGTGCCCACAGACACACACATATAGTCTGCCACAGAAACCTTCCCTTTCTTATGGAAATAAAACCACAGACCTGGAGGTTTTTGAGGCTTAACAATTGCTATTTATTAGAAAATCCACATGCAGCAAGAAATGAGAGGAGTGTCACCAGCTAGGTGGGGACATCACTTTATCTTGGTTCTTAACAAATCTGTTTAATGAGTCATATGTGCATATAAAATACCAGCAACCCTCCATTCCTTCAGAAATGATTTTTTGGATTCACAGAGGGAAGGTCCTTGTCCATACAAGTAAACAAACTTACAGCATATATCTGGAAAGTGATTCAAGTGTACATTTTAAAGACAGGCGAGTCATAGAGTATTAGTCAGGGATCTCCGGAGAAGCAGAACCAATACGAAGTGTGTGTTTGTAGAAAGAGATTTCACATAAGGAACTGGCTCACATGGCTGTGGCGACTGGCCAGCCCGGGTCTGCAGTGTGCGCCGGCAGCCTGGAGACCCAGGATGGTGCAGAGTCCAAAAGCTGGTCTTTTTGTCCTGTTCAGTCCTGCAACTGGGAGGATGGAACCCACCCACATTGTGGGGGCAATCTGCTTCCCAGAGTTCACCCGTTGAAATGTCCATCTCACCCTAAACCTCCTTCAAGTTGACACAGGAAATTAACTAGCACATACAGTCAACAAGATTAAGCGTCTACTTTGAAGGAGGGCCAGCTGTCTATCCAATCTAGATGTGTTAGAAGGAGTCACAGTATTCGCTCCCAAGAACAAAACATGGCTTTGAAGGGTGTTTGTGGTTAAGTTTTTAACTTTTGGAAAACAGAATAGAGACTTTTGAGGACGAGGATGGGGATTTCCTCATCGCCCAGCCCAGGGAGCAGCAGACTGCCTGGACCACACACGTGTGTACTTCCTCTACTGCCGCCCGCCTCCCAGACTAGATGCGACCTAGTGGTTTAATAAATATAATATTGTCCTGGAGAAAGTCATGGCCAGTTTTGAGAGACATGTTTTACTTGCATTTTTTGCAAGGGAGCAGCTTTCCAAAGAGCCCAGCTTCCAGGATACAGAGAAGGGGGTTGTTTATAGTTTAAATGACTATGGGGCAGACATCAGTTCTGTTAAATAACATTCAGGGCTGTTTCAATAAAAAGCTACTTTCATAATAAAACAAACAAACCAGGACAGGTCTGTTTTTCGAAGTTTTTAGGGTATCCCTGAAATTCATGGCCTTCTGGAATTATCTGTAATTCGTGGCTTATTTTGGAATGCAAAGTTTTTGGAACAGAAGCCCCCCTGCCTGGTATCTGGCATGGGCTGAAATGCAGGCAGAGGGCAAGCCGGCAGCCTTACCCTCTCGATCGCGAAGACTGGTGGTGTAGGAGCAGGATAAGTAAGTATTAATCCCTGGTGGCAGGGAGCGGGTAAATAAGCAAAACCATATATTCCACTAGAAGCTTCAGTGCCCTGGCACGCCTCTCACATGTGATCAGCAGGTCTTCTCCAGAAACCTCATTTTTTTTGGTCAGCTGAGAATTCTGGATACATTTCTCTGTCACAGTTTTTAATAAAGTTTCATAACTCTGTTGTCATTCTTATATGGTTGCTAATATTTGCAAGGTTTGTGAAATTATATGAAAATAAGACACCAGTGATTTCACTTATATTAAATCCTATTTTGATCGCTGTTATATGAAATTCTCTGTTCTTCTCAAATTCCAGGGGAAATTCATTCTAACGTTTAGTTATGGTAATCACAATTATGGATTAAGTAGGGACACCATAGAAGGCATCGCAAGAGATGGCTTAGCCAGCTGTGCTCATATGGAAATAGAAGTAAGTTAATGAGTGTGTGAGTTTCTGTGTATTTTTTTAGTGTTATTTACTTTTATTGATACATCATAGATGTACATATTTTGGGGTACATGTGATTATTTATTTATGGGTCAGGGATCTCACTCTGTTGCCCAGGATGGAATGCAGTGGCACCATTACAGCTCACTGCTGCCTCAGGAAATTCTTCTGTCTCAGCCTCCTGAGTACCTGGGACTACAGGCGAGTGCCACCACAACTGGCTAATATTTTGATATTTTTGGAGAGATTAGGTCTCGCTCTGTTGCCTAGGCTGGTCTCCAACTCCTGGGCTCAAGCAGTCTTCTCGCCCTGGCTTCCCAATGGCTGGGATTACAGGTGTGATCCACCGTTCTGGCCATGTGATTCTGTATGTGCACGTGTGTGTGTGTGTGTGTGTGTGTGTGCGTGTGTGTTTGTGTGTGTGTGTGTGTGTGTATTTGAGGTTGGGAGGAGGCTACCCATGCAGACAGCACCCAGCTGGACACAGGAGAAATGGGAGGTGTTCTGTTTATAATTGGCAGGAGGCAAGAGACATGAAAATCTGAGCAATGGGTTACGAAACAAGAAACTGCGCCTACATGGGTGTTGTGATAAAACTGTCACTCAAGATTTACTTTCTAAGCTATTTATCTGTAAATTATCCTTTTTCCTTTCTGTTTATATACAATGGCATTGATTAAGCCTGACTGCCACAGGGCAAGGAATCGGTTTCTGTTCCCAGGACGATGGACACCGTGTGGTGGGCCATGTTCTCCTACCACCGGGAAGTGTGGGACTGCATTGCCCTTGAGTGCCATCACTCATGGGGGTGACATTTTATACTTCTGGCCGTGTAGACTCGCTGATTTCAGGAGGTTTTTCTGCCCCAATATCCCGTCTTCCCCTAATAGTCTTCTCTAATTAGAGTATAGAAATTTCTCCAAAATTAAGATCTAGAGTAAAACTGTGAATTTCCCACTCACTTATTTTTAAAAATATACAGCTTTATTGAGTATTTGACATCTTCAAAGATAGTTTATTGTTTCTGCCAATTATCTTCACTAAGCAGTATGACACTTGTGAACTCAAAAAAGAAATGGTATAAAAATGATTCAATTAGCCCAGACTTACAGAAAACAAAACCTAGGCAAGTTGGGTGCGTATTCCTTCACGGACGCCTCTGAGTCCTTCTCCTCTTCTTCCCTGTGATGTCACGGGCCAGGGACCACAACTCCCTTTGGCTCCTTGGCAGTGGTGTGAGTGTGTCTTCAGTGAAACTGGCTGTGCTTCACCCAGCTCTCCAACTTTCCTGACTTCCAAGTATTTCCATTCTTATCTCCCTGCAGTTAATCGCTTTGGCATCTTTAAGAAGGGTTTCTTTGTTTCTCCACTAAATGAAAGGCCTTTTCTAAGCAATTTTTTCCTTGGGCAAGGCAGAAACAAAAACGGGTTTGCCTCTGAGTGTGGGATCCCTGCAGCTGGCGTCTCCTCCTTCCCTGCTTACCTTTTCTGCTCCTTGAGCATTAGTCCTTCTCCTTCCAGGAGCTTGAGTCTGTAACCTGGGCTTTATGCCCCTGATTCTTCCCAGCTAACATGTTTTTCCAAATTGCCCTTGTCCGTGACTCTCTTAAAAAGAGCTGGTATTGCTTCCCACTGAATTTTTAAAACAAAGATTTTGAACACTGAATTAAACCGGTGATGAGACGTTGAGATGGAAGGGACTTTGGGTCCCTGTGGAGTAACTCTTTCATCTCACTCACGAGGAAGCGACCCTGGAGTACATGAAGAGCATGTGCAGAGCCCACAGGCGCTGGAGGGCTGTGGCCACAGCCTTACTCCAGAGTCCCGGGCACCCCTGCACGGCTTCATGCCAGGACCGCGTGGTTGCAGATGGCCAGGAGCGTGACCTTCCCAGCTCTGGTAGAGGCCATGGAACTCTTCGGAACCAGCCTCACTGGGATGCTGATTTAGGAGCACAATCAAGGAGTTGGAGAGGAGGCTTTTCTCCTGGCAAAATCTTATCTCCTGGAGTTCCAAAGAAGCCTCTTGAAAGGCAGAATTTAAGTTCCTTGTAGATCCTAGATATTAGGCCTTTCTCAGATATACAGTTCGCAAATATTTTTTCTCATTCTGTGTGGGCTGTCTCCCCACTATCTTGATGGTTTCTTTTGCTTTGCAGAAGCTCATTAGTTTGATGAAGTCCCACTTGTCTATATTATTTCTTAAGGTATGGGCCTTTAGGGTTCTGAATAGAAGTTGGTTGCCAGTTCCAATTTCCATAAGGGTATCTCCTGTGTTTTTTAAGATTCTTATAGTTTGAGGTTTTACATTTAGGTCTTTGATCCATTTAGAGTTAATTTTTGTGTGTGGTGATAGGTAGGGGTCCTGTCTCAATCTTCTGCATGTGATCAGTCAGTTTTCCCAGCACCGTTTACTGAATAGGTTCTCCTCCCCCCAGTGGTTGTCGTTGGAGGCTTTGTCAAAGATGAGTTGTTTGAGAAATTGAGGCTTTGCTTCTGGAATCTCTATCCTGTTCCATTGGTCTATATGCCTGTTCTTGTACCAACACCAGGCTGTTTTGATTACTGTAGCCTTATAGTAAAGTTTGAAGTCTCTGATACCTCCTGCTTTGTTTCTTTCACTAAGGATTGTTTTGGCTATTCGTGGTCGTTTATGTTTTCATATGAATTGCTGTATTGTCATTTCCAGGTCTGAGAAGAATGATGTTGGTAACTTAATGGTATTGCATTGAATCTGTAGATTGCCTTTGGTAGGATGGACATCTTAACAATGTTGATTCTTCCTATCCATGAGCATGGAATATTTTTCCATTTGTTTTGTCTTCTTGGATTTCTTTGAGGAGTGTTTTGCAATTTTCATTGTAAAAGTCTTTCACTTCTCTGGTTAGGAAGATGCCAAGGTATTTCATTTTTTGGGTGGCTATTGTGAATGGGATTGTGCTTTTTATTTGGATCTCTGCCTGTTTGTTGTTGGTGTATAGGAGTGCAACTGCCCTTTGCACATTTACTTTGTACCCTGAGACTTTGCCAAAGTTCTTTATCAGTGCAAGCAGGTTTTTGACAGATTCTCTTGGATTTTCAAGATATAGGAACATATCGTCAGCAAAGAGGGATAACTTGACTTCCTCTTTTCCTATTTGGATACCCTGATTTCCTTCTCTTGTCTAATTGCCAGTAGTGGTAAACTGTCAGGGGAGGGGGGTGGGATTGGCAGTTGAGGGAAACTACTAGGGGAGGGAGGGGCACACCCCATCAACAAGGGTACCTGAATGATCAACATTTGTATACCTAACCCTGAATTGTACCCCACATCTTTATAATTAAAAAAAGGCAGAATTGAAAGTACTTCTCCAGAATAAAGTCGCAGTGTTGCTGTGAATTTACCTATCTTATATCCAGTAATCTTACAACAGCCACATTTGTTAGAATGATTAGTTAGAGGAAAACCAGGCGGAATGAATTTAAGCATTTCCAATGACAATCTAGTATTTGATGAAAAGAGAAAAGTAATCTAACCTTGAGACAGGGAAAAATAGCCAATTATACAGATAAAGTAAATTCTTCAATATAATTCTACTTCTTAGACCAGGGCTGTCAGATGTCTCCAAAATTATTCCTAAATCATGTATCTGTTTCCAGCCTGTTATCTTTCTTTAAACGCATAGGGTGTAAGAAGTTTGAAATATTCCTATTTTGAGCCTCGATATATCCTGGTGGTGCCCATGAACAAGGAAAAATATGAAGGATACTTGCGGAGAAAAGGATTGTTCAGTCGTGCAGAAATTGAATTTGCTGTCTCCAGAGTGGACCTTTATACTGAAATTAATCAGAAACTTCCAGGATATTTTGATGCAGTAATCAATGCAGGTTGGTAACTTTCAGCAAAGTTTTATTTGTGAAATATAAGGTTACTGAATTGAAGGTTTGTTTCATGGGAAGAAAATCCTCAGGTAAAAGACATTTTCCTTATAGCAGTGAGTTATAAAGAGTCGCCTAAAGGAGTAAGAGGGATCTAGGCTTCTACAGCTTGAATCAGAGCATTGTCTCTGTTATTTCCTAAGATCTTCACTAAAAAGACTTGTTGTAGCATGAGCCTGGACTAGGTTCCCATTTCAGGGAACACTATGAGAACAAAATTAGATCATATACATTTAAATTCCTAGAAAGGTATATGAAACTCAGGCAATTTTTTCCCTGATCTACATATAGGCTAAAAACCCAACTACTAAAAATAGCTATGAAAATATCTGTGTAAAACAAACATTTTCAAGAACTAGCTTAGAATGGCCATTTAATTTAAAGTAATAGTCCATGGGAGAATTTATTGAGATATGAAAAATCCTACATATTTTTAAAACTGTACTATATTACACAGCCATAAAAATAAATGAGAAAACACTCTGTGCACAGATGAGGAAATATCTCCAAGCCATATGGTTACTAAAAAGGACAGGTGAACAGCCATAGGTATAGTATGCCATCATTTATGGTTTATTAAAAAATGTAATTGTATTTTCTATTACTACATAAAAAATCTCTGGAAGAATCCTCAAAAAGCCAGTAATGCTGATGACCTGTTGGGGGAGTAGGGACTGGTTGGATGGGGACATTAGGTTGAACTATATGAGATTGGTGATATTCACCTATTTTGACCAATGAAAACAGCAGTTTCATATAGTTCAACTTAGTAGTTTTTGATCTCTGAAACATGTTCCCATATTACAGAGTAGCATTTGTTCTCTGTTCCTACAGAGGAATTACCCACCTGGTGTCTTGGGACAGCACCCTATTAGCTCACAGCTTTGTAGGTTAGAAGTCCGAGGCAGCATAACTCGATTCTCTCTGCTCAGGGTGTCAGAGGACTAAGGTCTCATGGGAGGCTCTGGGGAAAATCTGCCTCAAGTGCATCCTTATTGGCAAAATGCAGTTTCCTGTGGGTGTAGGACTGAGACTTTTGGCTCCTTATCAGCTCTCTGCCGGGTTTTGTCCTCATTCCTCGGGGGTTCCCAGGCCTTGTCCGTGTGGCCTGTTGCCTTCCAGCCAGCAGCGGCATGTCCAGTCCTCCTCATCCCTTGAGGCTCTTACCCGCTCTTCACCAACAGCCAGAGACAACTCCTCCCGTGTGATTAGGGGGTCCCTCTGGATCGCCTCCCTTTTGATGAACCCAAAGTCATCCTTTCGTGGCCTTAACCACACCTGCAAAATCCCTTTTGCATGTCATGTACCATCGTCACAGGGATGATGGTCTCGTGGCCTGCACAGGTTCTGTCCACATGTAAGGGGAGGTGGGGTGCAGGACTGATGCACTGTCAGGGCTGTCTTGGGGTTCTGCCAGTAAATGTGGTGAACAGATCCCATACTGGCAGCTGACCATCGGCCGGGTGTGGACGTGTTGTCGTTCCTTTAAATAAAGCGCACGCTCTCCCTTGCTGCAGATGACCTGGACACGGCCTACCACAAGCTGAGTCAGCTCATCAGAGAGTATCTCGGACTGACTGAGGAACCTGCCAAGGGCCTGGCTCCAGCTGCAGGTACTGTCCTGTCCCCTTCGTGTGTGAGTGTTTTTCATGGAAAGGCAAGCAGAGCTGAGTGGTTGTTTTGGTGCCTCTCAGCTAGGCTCATGCTTGTCCTTTTTCATTCCTGCACTTCTTCTGGGGCTGTTGTCTCCAGAAACAGGTGGCACTAGTTGGCCTTCTGGGCCTGCAGTGCTGCTTGCCTCCATGACCAGGGGTCCCCAACATCCCGGCTGCGGCCCAGAACTAGTCGATAGCCTGTTAGGAACTGGGTGCCCAGCAGGAGGTGAGTGGCGGGCAAGTGTGCAAGGCCTCATCTGTGTTGACAGCCTCTCTCATTGCTCGCATGACCACCAGAGCTCTGTCTTTTGTCAGATCAGCGTCAGTATTAGATCTTCATCGGAGTGCAAGCCCTACTGTGAACTGCACCTCCGAGGGATCTAGGTCGTATGCTCCTTAGGAGACTCTAATGTCTGATAAGCCTCCCCACCCTCCACCCCCTCCCACCCAACCCCCAGTCTGTGGAAAAATTGTCTTTCACAAAACCAGTCCCTGATGCCAAAAAGGTTGGGGACCACTGTTCATGACCATAATGGAACTCAGGGGACTGCCCCTCAGGGACGTGCCAGGCAGCACCTTGGAAGTAGGCAGTAGATCAGGGTTAGCCTCATGGTTCAGAACTCAGCCTTCCAGAAGTTTAGTTCCCCTTGAGGCTGGGGTGCTGTCCCTTGTCAGGCTTGTGTCTAGTCCAAGAGTTTCTGTCCAAGTGCTTCTTGCTTGGACTAAGAGTCTAAGACTTTCCTTTCCCCTTTTCTTCACATTGCCTTGTCCTCAGAATGGCTCACTGTAGAATGTCCTGGCAGGAGCACAGTAAGAGGATGTGCTCGTGGTCCTGCCCTGCGGCTCTTGTAGGCAAACTGCTTGACTGTTCTGAACTTCAGTTCACTGTCCTGCTAGACAGCTGGAATGCTCCCCACCTCCCTCACACACTGTGAGTAGCACATGATGTGCCTGAGAGTGTATCTCCTTGGAATCTAGGAATTCTAAAACCTTAACTCAGAATTTTGATACCTGAGCATTATGAGATGTACTTAAAAGGTCCCTCCAAAACCACACACAACATTGGGGTGGCTACTATAAAACAAAATAAAAACTAGAAAATGACATGTGTTGGTAAGAATGTGGAGAAACTGGAACCCTTGTGTGCTGTTAATGGGAATGTAAAATGGTGCAGCTGCCATGGAAAACAATATGGTGGTTCCTCAAAAACTTAAAAATAGAATTACCATAGGATTCTGTGGTTCCACTTCCAGGTATATGCCCAAAAGAGTTGAAAGCAGGCTCTCGAAGAGATGGTTGTACACTTGTGCTTACAGCAGCATTCTTCACAATAGCCAAAAGGTAGGAGCAACCAGATGTTCCTCAGTGGATGAATAGATAAGCAACATGTGATATCTACATGAAATGGAATATTATTCAGCCTTAAAGAAGGAAGGAAATTCTGGCATGAACTACATACAACAAGATGAACCTTGGGGACATTGTGCTAAGTGAAATAAGCCAGTCACACAAGGACACACCTTGTATGCTTCAACTTATAGGAAGGACCTGAAGGCAGACGGGTTGCCAGGGGCTGGGCCACAGGGTTTCACTTGAGGAGAGTTCTAGAGACAGATGGTGCTGATGGTTGCACAGCAGTGAGTCCACTCACGGCCACTGAACGGTACACTTCAAAATGGCTAAGACAATAAGTGTTGTGTTGTGTGGTATTCTACCACAGTAATAACTTACGAGGCCCCCTTGGTGGATGGAATTCCATCCCCACAAAGCCTCCATCAGATAGATGTCAGCCCAAGCCCCCGCTGCTTTGCGATGCTATGCGGCTTGTGTTGCAGCTCGAGACTCTTGGCCCAAATATGATTCTGCCTGCCTGGTTACATCCTGGCGGGCCAGGTCACGATTTTGCCGGAGTTCAAACCAATTGTGCTGCTTGGCAATTTTGCACACTTTTCTCAGGTTAAGGGCCCCTGGTGTTCTGGAGTGAGGTCAGTGGGACACTCGTAAAAATCAACAGGTGATGGCTGAGAATTTCCATCTACATGTGTCTCGTATACCAAGTAGCCAGGCTATAACCTACTGATGGGAAGGTCCTTAAGGAAAGTCTGACCTGTCTGGAAATAGACATGGATGCAGGCACGCAGGACTGTGCTCATCCCCCAGGGGTGGGGAAGACATGGAATTAGCAGTACATCCATGTGTCTGTCCAGCCCTGCTCTGTGTCTGTCAGGCATTGGTTCTTACGGAGCCATGTGTAGGGGAGCATAGTCAGCCCCATCAGGCTTCTTTGGGACTCTCTTGAGGAAATCTGCTCCCCATGCTTTAATTCTTTGTCAACCAAGCAACCTTCTGATCTTCCATCTGGCTCTCCCAGATGAACCTGCCCCTGTGGGAAGGTTCGACATGACATGACAACACCCTGCCCTGATCCCTGAGCCAGGCCCCACACCCACCAAAATTAATCAGTGCACTCCTTTAGTCTCTTGTGGGTCTGGATAAAAATGAGTAGTTCTCAGTCACTGAGAAATGTGCGTTTCTGAATCCGACGTGCCTCTGAGTGGCCACTTGAATGAGACTTCACCTCAGTAGCTGGTGAGATTCCATCTCTGTGTTCTTTTTTTTTTTTTTAATTTTTACTTTAAAGATGTAGGGCACAATTAAAGGTTGGGTATACAAATGGTCATTGTACAGGTAAAGTTTGGGCCTTACTTTTGTCCCCACTATTTGAGACTAGGAACCCTTATTGATGAAGTGTGCCTCTGCACCCTGGCAGTTTCCCACTACTGCCGATCCTTTTCTTACAATATTATGATAATTGTTCAGGGTCCGTTTATGAGTAAGAACATGTGGTACTCAGTTCTTTGTTTCTGTGATAGATCACTGAGTATTATAGACTCTAAATCCATCCAAGTTGCTGTAAAGTTCATAATTTTGTTCTTCTTTATGGCTGTGTGATATTCCATTGTGTATATGTACCACATTTTTTTTTTTTAATCCAGTCTACTTTCAATGGGCAGCACGGTTGGTTCCATGTTTTTTCTATTGTGAATAATGCTGGAATAAACATGTATACACAAGTATCTTTTTTACAGAATGATTTGAGTTCCTCTGGGTATATTCCCAGAAGGGAGATTGCTGGGTCATATGGGAAGTTGAGTTTTAGATATTTTAGGCATTGCCACACTGTTTTCCACAGAGGTTGTATTAGTTTACACTCTCACCAACAGTGTAGAAGTGTTCCCTTTTCCCCGCATCCTGTCCAGCATCTGTTGTTTTTTGAGTTATGAATGATGGCCATCCTGACTGGAGTTAGGTGGTATCTCGGTGTGGTTTTAGTTTACATTTCTTCGATGACTAGTGAGGCTGAGCATTTTTTCATGTATCTGTTGGCTGCTCTCATGTCTTCTTTTGAGAAGTGTCTATTCATATCTTTTGCCCACTTTGTAGTGGGGTTGTTTGTTTTTTTCTTTTCAGCACATTTGAGCTCCTTGAAGATCCTAGATATTAGGCCTTTGTCAGAAATACAGTTGGCACATCTGTTATTTATTATTCTACAATTATCATGAACACTGACTGCAGGGTATGGTTGCTGTATGGCAAATCAATAGTCCAGAGAACGGTCTCTCATTTTAAGGGGCATCATAAAACTTTATCTATTTGAACTAGTTAGGTCAGGCCTGGCTGACTTAATGACAAGTGTGAATTACAGAATTTATAAAAATTTTATCACTTTCAGTTGTATTTCATAACTGAAACCGAGCCATCCAGTGATTGACTAATATAATTCCAACTTAAAACTTGGGTAGGAGGGTTTGTAATTCATACATCAAAGCCGTAGTCTCAACAGACATCTGCTTTTCTGGCAAGTTTAGTATTTTGGGAAACAATATGTTTTCTTAAGCCAACCACTTTATCTTATTTATACAATTAATTTGTGGAGAAAGTTTTTTCAGTTGATATTTAAGAATAAATTTGCACACAAAGTGACACTGTGGAGGCTGGACATTTTCCACATGAGTATTTGACAATCCTAATCTCCACAGTCCTTATGCATAAGCTTTCATGGTGTCTTGGTGGCCCAAGAAGCAGAGACAATGTTCTGTCTGAGTTTTGGGGCTGGGAAGTGTGTGCCAAGGACTATGAGCCAAATACGTACAGGTCCACTGTAGGAGAGAGGGCCCACCTGTAATCACCATACAAGGAGGTCAGGGCTGCCTGAGAAGGGCCCAGAGCCCCAGCAGAGTAACCACCTGGGCTGGCTGCAACTGCGCCTCTTTGCTTCTGCTCTGAGCTGGGTCACTCTGATTTTAAGTTTTATAGTTTAGGTCTATTTACATGAATACTTACATTACTTATATAAATGGGACTTCTAGAAATAAAAAACAATAATTTTAGTGTAGTGGAAATTTTAAGAATAATTGAGCTACCAAAGGGAAAAAATTAAATGAAAAAAAATATAGGATTCTGTGAAAGATAGCTTTGAGCAATTAGAAAACTGGACTAGCAATATGAAGCCTAAGCTTTCTGTTCTAACTCTAACCATAATTATTACTTAAATTAGAGAAATAATTTTCTTAAAATAAAAACCTATATATACTATTGTAGGCATTCTAGAATTTGGCTTTCTAGAGCTGAGGACTTCCTACTGGGCTAGACTAGCTCTGGGTAGGGTCAGTCTGGACAGAGATTGTATGATCAGCAGCTTTGTTTTGCTTGAAGTGGTAAGCCTGTGCCAGTGCAAACTGAGATTATTCTCGAACATCTGAAGTAGTAACACATAGCTTTGCCTTATTGCTAACTTGTAACAAGGAATGTACTTTCAATTTCTACTCTTAATGATACAAGTAAGCCCAAGACCTATCAGTTCTGAGTACAGCATCCATCAGCCTGTACCCAGAAGTGTAACCTTTACCAGTGGACAGATGAACTGAATTTTCATTTAGTGCATGTATAAAATAGTA